GCTAACAAGGGCAGTGTATAAAGACCATAAAGGAAACTGGTGAACCCTTCAAGATGAGGAGATTGAAAATGGGAATTCAAAGAAAGGAGTTGAATCTGAGAATTTTTTTAAAGTAAAAAGTAAACATAGATTTTTAAAAATTTATTTCTTTTACTTGTTGTGTGCCATCGAATCTGATCCAACTAGCACGGGAGGAGATTGCCCCTCTTTCTTCAACAGAGCATCCGGTGGATTAGAACCGCACACCTTCGGGATTGCAGTACAGCTTCTTGCCACTAGGCCACCAGAGCTCCCTTAAGATAGATTTATTAGAAGGTTACATCCCAAAGGGACAAGTTTCTCTCCTTGAAAGGAGATCTAGAGAAATTGAATCCAAGAAATATTTTTAATTTTATTATTATTAATTTTAATGAAAATTTACAGACACTTTGGATTTCCATTCATTCATTGTTGCACTTTTCTCCCTGCCCACCTCTCCTGCCTAGTTCACTCTTCTCTTTGAAAAGTAAAAGAAAAATTATTTCTTTGTTATACAATCCCTCCCCACAAGTCCACTCCACTATGCAGCCTTCATTCTGGACTCCTGTCATGACAATACCTAATCATCTATCCTTTTAAACAGCTCTTTTATCTGTTTCAAGGCAGTATACATAATTTATCCCATCTTTCTCAGTCTCCCCCCCCCAACCGAGATGTCAGTCCTGTTTTAAAACAGTGGAACTAGGCAGTATTTGTCCTTGTGTGTCTGAGATACTTCACTCAGCATAATGTCCTCCAGGGTCACCCATTTTGAATAATATTTCATTAGTTCCTTGATTTTCAGTGCACGTAGTATTCCATGTGTGAATATACCAGAGCTTCTCTATCCATTTGTTTGTTGATGGGCACTTAGGTTGTTTCCAACTCTTTGCTGTTGTGAACAAAGCCATGATAAACATGGGTGTGCATATATCTGCTTGGGTGGCGGTTATGGTTTCTTTAGGTTATATTCCTAGTAGTGGAATTACTGGGTAAAAATGGTATTTCTATTTGCAACTTTTTGAGAAAGTGCCATACAGCCTTCCATAGTGGTTGCACCGTTTTTACACTCCCACCAACAGTGAATAAGGGTTCCAGTTTCTCCGCAACCTCGCCAGCATTTGTTGTTTGCTGTTCTGTTAAATTTTGCTATTCTGACTGGGGTGAGATGGTATCTCATCGTTGTTTTGTGAATCTGAGAAATATTTTTAAGGCACAAAGGAAACATAATAGCTAATCACTCAGACAGCAGCCAAGCGGATTTAGTATAAACCCCAGATTCTCGGGTCTCAGCTGGAGTGTCAAATCCCAGAGCCTTCTCCTGGATGACAGTGCTAGACTTCTTTAAGCCTGTTTTCATCTGTAAGATGTGTATGTAAGTTGGAATAGTGATCTTAGTACTCCCTTCTCAGTATAGAATGATGCATGCTAGGGGCTTAGTATTACTGGCATATGATTGCGTGCCACACGTGTAGTAGGGAAGAACGAGCAAGGGTTTGGGTCATATTGATTATAGACAAGGAAGGGAATAAGGAATTGAAAAGCATTCCGCGATTCCTCTTCTGGAAGATGTGGTTATTTGTGGAACCAGGAGTAGTAGAGTTTTAGGTCGCCGGTCACCAGTGTCTTTTTTGGTGGGGAACTCCATGACTGTTCTCCAAGCACATACGCAAACCCAGCCATGAATTCAGTTCCGCCTCATAGCAACCAAAGTAGAAGTCACTGCCGAGTTTCCAAGGCTCCAACCTTAGAGGAACAGGTTGCCCCGGTGACCTCTCATGCAGGAGCTGATGGATTCAGACTGCCAGCTAGCCGGTTCAGTTAGCAACCCTGGCTCCTCTGAATGCCCATGAAGTTCTCGCACTGAGGTGTGATAGCAAAACCAACCTGGTTCTGGCTTTCTAGAAAAAAATGGTAACTGTGGGTTTTTTGTTTTGTTTTGGGTTTTTTTTTTTTAATTATTTTTTGTGTGTGTGTACCGTCAAATCAGATCTGACTGGTACAGGAGGAGATTGTCCCTCC